CCGGGGACGGGACCCCTAGTCGACGGGGCTCATCCCCCAACATCCCCCACCCCGGGGACGGGACCCCTCGTCGACGGGGCTCATCCCCCAACATCCCCCACCCCGGGGACAGGACCCCTCGGTGACAGGGCTCATCCCCCAACATCCCCCACCCCGGGGATAGGACCCCTCGGCGACGGGGCTCATCCCCCAACCTCGGGGACAGGACCCCTCGGTGACAAGGCTCATCCCCCAACCCCGGGGACAGGACCCCTCGGCGACGGGGCTCATCCCCCAACCCCGGGGACAGGACCCCTCGGCGACGGGGCTCATCCCCCAACCCCGGGGACAGGACCCCTCGGCGACGGGGCTCATCCCCCAACATCCCCCAACCCCGGGGACAGGACCCCTCGGCGACGGGGCTCATCCCCCAACATCCCCCAACCCCGGGGACAGGACCCCTCGGCGCGGGGCTCATCCCCCAACCCCGGGCACAGGACCCCTCGGCGCGGGGCTCATCCCCCAACCCCGGGGCACAGGACCCCTCGGCGACGGGACTCATCCCCCAACCGCGGGCACAGGACCCCTCGGCGACGGGGCTCATCCCCCAACCCCGGGCACAGGACCCCTCGGCGACGGGGCTCATCCCCCAACCCCGGGCACGGGACCCCTCGGCGACGGGGCTCATCCCCCAACCCCGGGGACGGGACCCCTCGGCGACGGGGCTCATCCCCCAACCCCGGGGACGGGACCCCTCGGCGACGGGGCTCATCCCCCAACCCCGGGGACGGGACCCCTCGGCGACGGGGCTCATCCCCCAACCCCGGGGACGGGACCCCTCGGCGACGGGGCTCATCCCCCTACCCCGGGGACGGGACCCCTCGGCGACGGGGCTCATCCCCCAACATCCCCCAACCCCGGGGACGGGACCCCTCGGCGACGGGGCTCATCCCCCAACCCCGGGGACGGGACCCCTCGGCGCGGGGCTCATCCCCCAACCCCGGGGACGGGACCCCTCGGCGACGGGGCTCATCCCCCAACCCCGGGCACGGGACCCCTCGGCGACGGGGCTCATCCCCCAACCCCGGGGACGGGACCCCTCGGCGCGGGGCTCATCCCCCAACCCCGGGGACGGGACCCCTCGGCGCGGGGCTCATCCCCCAACATCCCCCTACCCCGGGGACGGGACCCCTCGGCGCGGGGCTCATCCCCCAACCCCGGGCACGGGACCCCTCGGCGTGGGGCTCATCCCCCAACCCCGGGGCACAGGACCCCTCGGCGACGGGGCTCATCCCCCAACCCCGGGCACAGGACCCCTCGGCGACGGGGCTCATCCCCCAACCCCGGGGACGGGACCCCTCGGCGACGGGGCTCATCCCCCAACCCCGGGGACGGGACCCCTCGGCGACGGGGCTCATCCCCCAACATCCCCCTACCCCGGGGACGGGACCCCTCGGCGCGGGGCTCATCCCCCCACCCCGGGGACGGGACCCCTCGGCGACGGGGCTCATCCCCCAACCCCGGGGACGGGACCCCTCGGCGCGGGGCTCATCCCCCAACATCCCCCAACCCCGGGGACAGGACCCCTCGGCGACGGGGCTCATCCCCCAACCCCGGGGACAGGACCCCTCGGCGACGGGGCTCATCCCCCAACCCCGGGCACAGGACCCCTCGGCGACGGGGCTCATCCCCCAACCCCGGGGACGGGACCCCTCGGCGACGGGGCTCATCCCCCAACCCCGGGGACGGGACCCCTCGGCGAGGGGGCTCGTCCCCCCCCGGCCCGGTCACGCCCCCGGCCCCCACCTCCTTCTGCTTGGGGTCCTGCGGGTAGACGTCGGGCGGCCCCAGGCGCGGCCGCTTCAGGGGCCGGTGCTCGTAGCTCAGGATCCCGAAGGCCGCCATCGCCGGGGGGGTGCGGGGCCGGCGCGGCTGGGGGAGAGACACGGCCGGGCCACAACAAGGAACGGCGGAACCAGCCGAGCGGGCCCGAGCCAGCCCCCGGCAGTCCCGGAAACTGCCGAGCGAGGTCGGAGCTTCCCGAGCCGGTCTCCGGAAATTGCCGAGCGAGGTCGGAGCCTCCCGAGGCGGCCCCGGCTGCCCCGGAAATTGCCGAGCGTGGTCGGAGCTTCCCGAGCCCGCCTCCGGAAACTGCCGAGGGGGGTCGGAGCTTCCCGAGCCGGCCCCAGCGGCCCGGAAATAACCGAGCAGGGGCGGAGCTTTCCGAGCCCGCCTCCGGAAATTGCCGAGCGAGGTCGGAGCTTCCCGAGCCGGCCCCGGCCTCTGCCGAGCGGAGCCGCGGCCGTTTCCTCAGGAGCAGAGCGGGGGGTTCGCAGAGACGCGGCCCGGGCCCGGGCTGGGGGGAGCCAGGGTCTGAGGGGCCCTGAGGGGCCGGGCCAAGGGGCGGGCGCTGCCGCCGGCGGCTCCGGGCAGGAGTCAGTCGCGTCCGGTGGCCGGCGCCTGTTTCCCTTTTTCGCTCGGGGGCCACCGAGCCCCCCCCAGGGCCGCCGCGCTGTGACCCCCCCGCGCCCCGAACCCCCCCGGGCCCCTCCCGCGCCCCGACCCCTCATCTCTGCCCCCCCGGGCCCCTCCCGCGCCCCGACCCCTCATCTCTGCCCCCCCCGGCCCCTCCCGCGCCCCTAGCCCCTCATCTCTGCCCCCCCCGGGGCCCCTCCCGCGCCCCTAGCCCCTCATCTCTGCCCCCCCGGAACCCCGTGACCCCTCATCTCTGCCCCCCGGGCCCCTCCCGCGCCCCGACCCCTCATCTCTGCCCCCCGGGCCCCTCCCGCGCCCCGACCCCTCATCTCTGCCCCCCCCCCGGGGCCCCTCCCGCGCCCCTAGCCCCTCATCTCTGCCCCCCCCGGGGCCCCTCCCGCGCCCCGAGCCCCTCATCTCTGCCCCCCCCGGAACCCCCCGACCCCTCATCTCTGCCCCCCGGGCCCCTCCCGCGCCCCGACCCCTCATCTCTGCCCCCCGGGCCCCTCCCGCGCCCCGACCCCTCATCTCTGCCCCCCCGGGGCCCCTCCCGCGCCCCGAGCCCCTCATCTCTGCCCCCCCCCGGAACCCCCCCGACCCCTCATCTCTGCCCCCCCGGGCCCCTCCCGCGCCCCGAGCCCCTCATCTCTGCCCCCCCCGGGGCCCCTCCCGCGCCCCGAGCCCCTCATCTCTGCCCCCCCCGGGGCCCCTCCCGCGCCCCGAACCCCTCATCTCTGCCCCCCCGGGGCCCCTCCCGCGCCCCCGAGCCCCTCATCTCTGCCCCCCCGGGGCCCCTCCCGCGCCCCCGAGCCCCTCATCTCTGCCCCCCCGGGCCCCTCCCGCGCCCCGAGCCCCTCATCTCTGCCCCCCCGGGGCCCCTCCCGCGCCCCGAGCCCCTCATCTCTGCCCCCCCCGGGCCCCTCCCGCGCCCCCGAGCCCCTCATCTCTGCCCCCCCGGGGCCACTCCCACGCCCCGAACCCCTCATCTCTGCCCCCCGGGGCCCCTCCCGCGCCCCGAGCCCCTCATCTCTGCCCCCCGGGGCCCCTCCCCGCGCCCGAACCCCTCATCTCTGCCCCCCGGGGCCCCTCCCGCGCCTCGAGCCCCTCATCTCTGCCCCCCGGGGCCCCTCCCCGCGCCCCAAGCCCCTCATCTCTGGCCCCCCCCGGGGCCCCTCCCGCGCCCCGTGACCCCTCATCTCTGCCCCCCCTGGGGCCCCTCCCGCGCCCCGAGCCCCTCATCTCTGCCCCCCCGGGCCCCTCCCGCGCCCCGAACCCCTCATCTCTGCCCCCCCTGGGGCCCCTCCCGCGCCCCGAACCCCTCATCTCTGCCCCCCCCGGGGCCCCTCCCACGCCCGAGCCCCTCATCTCTGCCCCCCTGGAGCCCCTCCCGAGCCCCTCATCTCTGCCCTCCCCGGGGCCCCTCCCGCGCCCGAACCCCTCATCTCTGCCCCCCCGGGGCCACTCCCACGCCCCGAGCCCCTCATCTCTGCCCCCCGGGGCCCCTCCTGCACCCCGAGCCCCTCATCTCTGCCCCCCCAGAACTCCCCGAGCTCCTCATCTCTGCCCCCCGGGGCCACTCCCGCGCCCCGAGCCCCTCATCTCTGCCCCCCCGGAGCCCCTCCCGCGCCCCGAGCCCCTCATCTCTGCCCCCCCCGGAACTCCCCGAGCCCCTCATCTCTGCCCCCCGGGGCCCCTCCCGCGCCCCGAGCCCCTCATCTCTGCCACCCCCCCGGGGCCCCTCCCGCGCCCCGAGCCCCTCATCTCTGCCATCCCCCCGGGGCCCCTCCCGCGCCCCGAGCCCCTCATCTCTGCCCCCCCGGGGCCCCTCCCGCGCCCCGAGCCCCTCATCTCTGCCCCCCCGGGGCCCCTCCCGCGCCCCGAGCCCCTCATCTCTGCCCCCCGGGGCCCCTCCCGCGCCCCTCATCTCTGCCCCCCCGGGGCCCCTCCCGCGCCCCGAGCCCCTCATCTCTGCCACCCCCCGGGGCCCCTCCCGCGCCCCGAGCCCCTCATCTCTGCCATCCCCCCGGGGCCCCTCCCGCGCCCCGAGCCCCTCATCTCTGCCCCCCCGGGGCCCCTCCCGCGCCCCGAGCCCCTCATCTCTGCCCCCCCCCGGGGCCCCTCCCGCGCCCCGAGCCCCTCATATCTGCCCCCCAGGGCCCCTCCCGCGCCCCTCATCTCTGCCCCCCCGGGGGCTCCTCCCGAGCCCCTCATCTCTGCCCCCCCCGGGGCCCCTCCCACGCCCCGAGCCCCTCATCTCTGCCCCCCCGGGGCCCCTCCCGCGCCCCGAGCCCCTCATCTCTGGCCCCCCCGGGGCCCCTCCCGCGCCCCGAGCCCCTCATCTCTGGCCCCACCCTGGGGCCCATACCCCTCCCACACACCAACCCCCAGCCCGGAGCCCCCTCCTGCACCCCGAGCCCCTCATCTCTGCCCCCCCGGGGCCCCTCCTGCACCCCGAGCCCCTTATCTCTGCCCCCCAGGGGCCCCTCCTGCACCCCAAGCCCCTCATCTCTGGCCCCACCGTGGGGCCCATACCCCTCCCACACACCAACCCCCAGCCCGGAGCCCCCTCCTGCACCCCAAACCCCTCATCGCCAACCCCACCCCAGAGCCCACACACCCAGCCAGAGCCTCTCCCCCCTCATACCCCAACAATCTGCCCCAGCCCGGAGCCCCCTCCTGCACCCTGAACCCCTCATTTCTGAAGGGTTTCTTCAGGTATGTTGGCAACAAGAAGAAAGCCAAGGAAAGTGTGAGCCCCTTACTGAATGAGGGAGGCAACCTAGTGACAGAGGATGTGGAAAAAGCTAATGTACTCAATGCTTTTTTCACCTCTGTCTTCACAAACAAGGTCAGCTCCCAGACTACTGCACTGGGCAGCACAGCATGGGGAGGAGGTGACCAGCCCTCTGTGGAGAAAGAAGTGGTTCGGGACTGTGTAGAAAAGCTGGACGAGCACAAGTTTCTGGGGCCGGATGCGCTGCATCCGAGAGTGCTAAAGGAGTTGGCGGATGTGATTGCAGAGCCATTATCTTTGAAAACTCATGGTGATCGGGGGAAGTCCCGGACGACTGGAAAAAGGCTAATGTAGTGCCCATCTTTAAAAAAGGGAAGAAGGAGAATCCTGGGAACTACAGGCCAGCCTCACCTCAGTCCCTGGAAAAATCATGGAGCAGGTTCTCAAGGAATCAACTCTGAAGCACTTAGAGGAAAGTGATCAGGAACAGTCAGCATGGATTCACCAAGGGCAAGTCATGCCTGACTCATCTAATTGCCTTCTATGATGAAATAACTGGCTCTGTGGATGAGGGGAAAGCAGTGGACGTGTTGTTCCTTGACTTTAGCAAAGCTTTTGACACGGTCTCCTACAGTATTCTTGCCAGTAAGTTAAAAAAGTATGGGCTGGATGAATGGACTATAAAGGTGGATAGAAAGCTGGCTAGATTGTCGGGCTCAACGGGTAGTGATCAATGGCTCCATGTCTAGTTGGCAGCCGGTATCAAGTGGCGTGCCCCAAGGGTCGGTCCTCGGGCCGGTTTTGTTCAATATCTTCATTAATGATCTGGAGGATGGTCATGCACCCTCAGCAAGTTTGCAGATGAGACTAAACTGGGAGGAGTGGTAGATACACTGGAGGGCAGGGATAGGATACAGAGGGACCTAGACAAATTAGAGGATTGGGCCAAAAGAAATCTGATGAGGTTCAACAAGAACAAGTGCAGAGTCCTGCACTTAGGACGGAAGAATCCAATGCACCGCTACAGACTAGGGACCAAATGGCTCGGCAGCAGTTCTGCAGAAAAGGACTTAGGGGTTACAGTGGACAAGAAGCTGGATATGAGTCAACAGTGTGCCCTTGTTGCCAAGAAGGCCAATGGCATTTTGGGATGTATAAGTAGGGGCACTGCCAGCAGACTGAGGGACGTGATCGTTCCCCTCTATTCGACATTGGTGAGGCCTCATCTGGAGTACTGCGTCCAGTTTTGGGCCCCACACTTTAAGAAGGATGTGGAAAAATTGGAAAGAGTCCAGCGGAGGGCAAGAAAAATGATTAGGGGACTGGAACACATGAGTTATGAGGAGAGGCTGAGGGAACTGGGGATGTTTAGTCTATGGAAGAGAAGAATGAGGGGGGATATGATAGCTGCTTTCAACTACCTGAAAGGGGGTTCCAAAGAGAATGGCTCTGGACTGTTCTCAGTGGTAGCAGATGACAGGACAAGGAGTTATGGTCTCAAGTTGCAGTGCGGGAGGTTTAGGTTGGATATTAGGAAAACTTTTTCACTAGGAGGGTTGTGAAGCACTGGAATGCGTTATCTAGGGAGGTGGTGGAATCTCCTTCCGTAGAAGTTTTTAAGGTCCGGCTTGACAAAGCCCTGGCTGGGATGATTTAATTGGGGATTGGTCCTGCTTTGAGCAGGGGGTTGGACTAGATGACCTCCTGCGGTCCCTTCCAACCCTGATATTCTGTAATTCACCCTGGGGCCCATACCCCTCCCACACACCAACCCCAGCCCGGAGCCCCCTCCTGCACCCTGAACCCATTATCACCAACCCCACCCCAGAGCTCACATACCCAGCCAGAGCCCTCTCTCCCTTCACACCCCAAGCCGCTGCCCCAGCCCGGAGCCCTCTCGTGCACCCTGAACCCCTCATTTCTGGCCCCACCCTGGGGCCCATACCCCTCCCACACAGCAGCCCCCAGCCCAGAGCCCCACTCCTGCAGCCCAAACTCCTCATCACCAACCCCACCCCAGAGCCCACATAGCCAGCCAGAGCCCTCTCCCCGCTCACACCCCAACCCCCTGTCCAGCCCCGAGCCCCCTCCTGCCCCCCGAACCCGTCATCTCTGGCCCCACCCTGGGGCCCATACTCCTCCCACACACCAACCCCCAGCCCGGAGCCCCTTACTGCACTCTGAACCCCTCATCGCAAACCCCATCCCAGAGCCCACACACCCAGCCAGAGCCCTCTCCCCCCTCACACTCCAACCCCCTGCCCCGGCCTGGTGAAAATGAGTGAGGCTGAGGGAGAGCGAGCGGTGGAGGGAGGGGGGATGGAGTGAGCAGGGGTAGAGCCTCAGAGAAGGGGTGGGCCTCGGGGAAGGAGGCGGGACAAGGGTGTTCGGTTGTCTGCAAATAGAAAGTTGGCACCAGGGGGCGGCCCATGCTCCAGCCCGTGGTCCCGCCCTGGGGCGGCCCATGCTCCAGCCCGTGCTCCAGCCCTGGGGCGGCCCGTGGTCCCGCTCTGGGGCGGCCCGTGCTCCAGTCCTGGGGCAGTCTGTGCTCCAGCCCGTGGTCCCGCTCTGGGGAAGCCCATGGTCCCGCTCTGGGGCGGCCTGTGCTCCAGCTCTGGGGCAGGCCCAGCCCATTGTCACCACACGACCAGGCCAGGCCGTGATGCCAGTGCCCCCTTGCTATGAGGCCACGCTGCAGCTGGTGCCTTTCCAGTCCAGCTGCCAGATCAGGCTGCGCCTCAGCTGCCTACCCTGTCCCCCGACATGAACTCCCCTGCTGTGGGGGGCCTGGCAAGCTCTGCACGGCTGCTCGCCACAGGCTGGGCTGCAGCTCACAGGGAGTTTCCCTTGGCTGTAGAGCGAAGCACACACTGTGCCTACCCCCGAGGGCTGCCGAGACCGAGCACTCTCCTGCCTGCAAGCACGCGGGGACAAGGTTTTGTACAGGAAGCAGCAATGAGTGCGGAAGTGGAGAGTCAGCTGCGTGGTATTCTCCTTCAGCAGCGAGCACTCGGCCCGTGAGGAGCTGTGATACAGCCAGCTCTGCCGGCTCGCCCCGGCACCCAGAGAACGCGTGGCAATACAGGGCCATGGATTCCCCTCTCTCTCCCTCCTCTGCCAGGAAGGAAGCTGGGATGTTCCTGACTCTAATCCTCCTGCTCTCTGGTCGCAGCCTGCGAGCCATGGCTGCCCAGAGCCCACAAGGTAATTCTCGCGCTCACTGTTCTGTGAATCTCAGCTGCCCAACACGTTCCTGAATCCGCTCCCGGCCTTTGTTCTACAGGCCACATTTGGAGCTTCAGGAACATGCCTCACTAAGAGGCTGTCATGGAGTGTGCGGGAGTCCAGGCCCTGCACCCCTCTTCCTGGGATTCACTGAGACTCTCAGCCAGCCAGTAAAACAGAAGGTTTATTGGACAACAGGAACACAGTCCAAAACAGAACTTGTGGGTACACCCAGGACCCCTCAGTCAAGTCCTTCTGGGGGAGCAGGGAGCTTAGACCCCAACCCTGGGGTTCCCTGTGTTCCTCCACCCAGCCCCAAACTGAAAACTAAACCCACCCAGCAGGTTCCCTGCTGCAGTCACCCTCCACATTCCTGGCCGAGGTGTCACCTCCCCCTCCTGGCTCAGGTGACAGGCTCTCAGGTCTCCCATCCCCAGGGCACATTCCCAGGTCAACACTCCCCCCTCCCTGCTGAGTCACATCGTCACAGAGGCCACCCCAGGCAAGGCAGGAGTTCAGCAGCATGAGGCTTGGGTGGTGGGGGGGGCCGTGATGTGAATATCTAGCAAGGGGAGGCCATGCTGGCTCTGGAGATTGTGCGCTGTCTGTAGATCCTTTGACCTGTGGGTTCAGAGCCATCCCATCTTAGGCAGGCATAAACTCATCACCACCTGATGGCGGTTTGGGGGCCTTTGTGAAGCATTTGGTAAAACTCAGGTCACTTACTCATGGTGCCTTGTCTGCATCACAAGTCACCGCCACAAACTGGCCCCTTTGCTGTCTCAAGGATAAGGCCTGAATGGTCCACAGAGGCTGAATTCACTTCTCCCTCTAGACCCAGGGCTGAGGCATGTTGCCAGGGGTGGGGGGGAAGAGGCTTGCATTGCTGCATCCTCTGTGGCCAGAGGCCGCCACTGTGTCACTTGGGCACCTCGTTGTGCTACAGGGGCTCAAAAATATATCGGCACCAGTGACATAGCAATGACGAGTGAAGACGCTGCTCAAGGGATGACATCTGTCCACAGGGCAGTACATGGCGTCCGTCAGGGTGTCTGTCTGCAGGGGCATGATGTGGTGTCCAGCGGGGGATGGCTCTGTGGGAGTGATGTCTGACTGCAGGGACAGTACATGGCATCCGTCAGGGTGATGTCTGGTGTCCGTCAGGGTGACGGCTAGGGGGGGACATCAGGCCTCAGGGCAGTACGTGGCATCTATCGGTGATGGCTCAGGGTGGTGACGTCTAGCCACAGGGCAGTGCGTGGTGCCTGTCAGGGTGATGTCTGGCCTCAGGGCAGTACGTGGCAGCTGTCAGGGTGATGACTCGGGGGTGACAGCTGGCCACAGGGCGGTACGTGGCGTCCGTCAGGGTCACAGCTCAGGGAGGTGATGGCTGGCCGCAAGGCAGTACATGGCATCCCCAGCCTATCAGCACCACTCCTGCATGGCTGCAGGAATTGGGGAAGTCCGGCAGGGAGCTCCTGAGCTCTCTGCTTCCCCCACTGAGGCAGCAAGCAAGAGGCCATGGGAAGACTCAAGGCCAGATCCCGCACTGGAAGTACTATGTTGCAAAGCTGTCAAGCTCCCGCCCTCATCTCCGTGGGGAAAGAGGCTCTAATCTCATCAGCCTCCAGTTTGAACCCTCAGAGCACAGGCCTCAGGTTCCAGGAGTAGGGCAGGAGGCAGGTGCTGCTCATATCCATTCTCTCTGGAGAGGGAAGTGGAGGGGTCAGCTGTAGACCACAGGCAAAGATTCAGAGAATGAGTCAGTTTCTTGTAACGCTGAGTAAGGGGCTCTATTAGAATAAAGAGCACAGCATTTTCCCATAAGTCCTGCCAGGCCCATGGGCCTGCAATGCAATTAGCAGAGCTGCTCAAACTCTCAGCCATGGAGAGTCCCTCTCTCACTGCATGGAGTTTAGCAGCAGGATGTGAGGCCCTGATAAGTATCTGCACCGTGGGTATAGTTTTCAGATGTGTATCTGCTCTAGTCTCTGTTTTAGTCTGTTCTGACGTTAGTGGGGAGGCTGGTAGGCCCTTGTGTAGTACTCTCATTCCAAGAACCTCGGGAATAAACTGGGATCCTCGCTGAACGGGCAGCCAGTGCTCCGGGCTTGCCTCCCACATACAAGAGCTATCTCAACCAGCATTGCTGTTCAGGAACATCTTGGAGTGATAGAGACCCTGCAGATACCACTAATCTCTCAAGCTCCCTGTTGTTCAGACATTCTCTCTCTATGTGGGTGCACCTGCTCTCGGTGTCTGGAAGACCCGCTGCAAGCTTCCCATCATCTCGGCATAAGAGGCGCATCCCAGCAAAACCACAGCTGCTAGCATGTGTTACTCCTGAGGGCATTCTGGGCCAAAAATTTAAATCCGCAAGTTTTATTTATCAGTAGATGAATGCGGAGGCTTCAGCATGGCAATGGGAGCACAGGCCACTGGCTGCATGAAGGTGGGAGATCACCATGCAGCGCCCCCACCCCGGGACACGGACTCAGAGCCTCTCCCTTGACCCCCTCAGACAGTAACCGTGTTAGGCGGTTTGTGACAAGATGGGACCTGTGAGTGCACACGCTGGAGAAATGAGCTCCGAGCCGTGACCTGACCTGTGGAACTGCAGCGGCTCCAGCACACATTTAGGTGGTGGCATTTTAGGCACTTTGACTTCTGGCTGCGTCGTCATCCCTTCTCCTAATCATAGAAATGTTGGGCTGGAAGGGACTTCGAGTGGTCATCTAGTCCAACCCCCAATGCTGGGACAGGACCAAGTAAACCGAGACGGAGGCTTTGGATTCTTTGACCATGGGATGGTGTTCCAAGAAGGAGGAGTGCTGGGCAGAGACGGGCTCCACCTAACGAAGAGAGGGAAGAGCATCTTCGCAAGCAGGCTGGCTAACCTAGTGAGGAGGGCTTTAAACTAGGTTCACTGGGGGGAAGGAGAGCAAAGCCCTGAGGTAAGTGGGGACATGAGATACCGGGAGGAAGCATGAGCAGGAGAACGCGAAAGGGGAGGGCTCCTGCCTCATACTAAGAAAGCAGGACAAACACCAAGTTATCTCAAGGGCCTATACACAAATGCAAGAAGCCTGGGAAACAAGCACGGAGAACTGCAAGTCCTGGCACAGTCAAGGAATTATGATGTGATTGGAATAACAGAGACTTGGTGGGATAACTCACATGACTGGAGCACTGTCATGGATGGATATAAGCTGTTCAGGAAGGGCAGAAAAGGTGGGGGAGTTGCACTGTATGTAAGGGAGCAGTATGACTGCTCAGAGCTCCGGTATGAAACTGCAGAAAAACCTGAGTGTCTCTGGATTAAGGTTAGAAGTGTGAGCAACAAGGGTGATGTCGTGGTGGGAGTCTGCTATAGACCACCGGACCAGGGGGATGAGGTGGACGAGGCTTTCTTCAGGCAACTAACGGAAGTTACTAGATCGCAGGCTCTGGTTCTTATGGGAGACTTCAATCACCCTGATATCTGCTGGGAGAGCAATACAGCGGTGCACAGACAATCCAGGAAGTTTTTGGAAAGTGTAGGGGACAATTTCCTGGTGCAAGTGCTGGAGGAACCAACTGGGGTCAGAGCTCTTCTTGACCTGCTGCTCACAAACCGGGAAGAATTGGCAGGGGAAGCAAAAGTGGATGGGAACCTGGGAGGCAGTGACCATGAGATGGTCGAGTTCAGGATCCTGACACAGGGAAGAAAGGAGAGCCGCAGAATGCAGACCCTGGACTTCAGAAAAGCAGACTTTGATTCCCTCAGGGAACTGATGGGCAGGATCCCCTGGGAGAATAGCATGAGGGTGAAAGGAGTCCAGGAGAGCTGACTGTATTTTAAAGACTCCTTATTGAGGTTACAGGGACAAACCATCCCGATGTGTAGAAAGAATAGTAAATATGGCAGGCGACCAGCTTGGCTTAACAGTGAAATCCTTGCTGATCTTCAACACAAAAAAGAAGCTTACAAGAAGTGGAAGATTGGACAAATGACCAGGGAAGAGTATAAAAAAATTGCTTGGGCATGCAGGAGTAAAATCAGGAAGGCCAAATCACACCTGGAGGTGCAGCTAGCAAGAGATGTCAAGAGTAACAAGACGGGTTTCTTCAGGTATGTTGGCAACAAGAAGAAAGTCAAGGAAAGTGTGGACCCCTTACTGAACGAGGGAGGCAACCTAGTGACAGAGGATGTGGAAAAAGCTAATGTACTCAATGCTTTTTTCACCTCTGTCTTCACAAACAAGGTCAGCTCCCAGACTACTGCACTGGGCAGCACAGCATGGGGAGGAGGTGACCAGCCCTCTGTGGAGAAAGAAGTGGTTCAGGACTGTGTAGAAAAGCTGGACGAGTACAAGTTTATGGGGCCGGATGCGCTGCATCCAAGAGTGCTAAAGGAGTTGGCGGATGTGATTGCAGAGCCATTATCTTTGAAAACTCATGGTGATCGGTGGAAGTCCCGGACGACTGGAAAAATGCTAATGTAGTGCCCATCTTTAAAAAAGGGAAGAAAGAGGATCCTGGGAACTACAGGCCAGTCAGCCTCACCTCAGTGCCTGGAAAAATCATGGAGCAGGTCCTCAAGGAATCAACTCTGAAGCACTTAGAGGAAAGTGATCAGGAACAGTCAGCATGGATTCACCAAGGGCAAGTCATGCCTGACTCATCTAATTGCCTTCTATGACGAAATAACTGGCTCTGTGGATGAGGGGAAAGCAGTGGACGTGTTGTTCCTTGACTTTAGCAAAGCTTTTGACATGGTCTCCCACAGTATTCTTGCCAGTAAGTTAAAGAAGTATGGGCTGGATGAATGGACTATAAAGGTGGATAGAAAGCTGGTTAGATTGTCTGGCTCAACGGGTAGTGATCAATGGCTCCATATCTAGTTGGCAGCCGGTATCAAGTGGAGTGCCCCAAGGGTCGGTCCTCGGGCCGGTTTTGTTCAATATCTTCATTAATGATCTGGAGGATGGTCATGCACCCTCAGCAAGTTTGCAGATGAGACTAAACTGGGAGGAGTGGTAGATACGCTGGAGGGCAGGGATAGGATACAGAGGGACCTAGACAAATTGGAGGATTGGGCCAAAAGAAATCTGATGAGGTTCAACAAGAACAAGTGCAGAGTCCTGCACTTAGGACGGAAGAATCCAATGCACCACTACAGACTAGGGACCAAATGGCTTGGCAGCAGTTCTGCAGAAAAGGACCTAGGGGTTACAGTGGACAAGAAGCTGGATATGAGTCAACAGTGTGCCCTTGTTGCCAAGAAGGCCAATGGCATTTTGGGATGTATAAGTAGGGGCACTGCCAGCAGACTGAGGGACGTGATCGTTCCCCTCTATTCGACATTGGTGAGGCCTCATCTGGAGTACTGCGTCCAGTTTTGGGCCCCACACTTTAAGAAGGATGTGGAAAAATTGGAAAGAGTCCAGCGGAGGGCAAGAAAAATGATTAGGGGACTGGAACACATGAGTTATGAGGAGAGGCTGAGGGAACTGGGATTGTTTAGTCTGCAGAAGAGAAGAATGAGGGGGATCTGATAGCTGCTTTCAACTACCTGAAAGGGGGTTCCAAAGAGGATGGCTCTGGACTGTTCTCAGTGGTAGCAGATGACAGGACAAGGAGTAATGGTCTCAAGTTGCAGTGCGGGAGGTTTAGGTTGGATATTAGGAAAACTTTTTCACTAGGAGGGTTGTGAAGCACTGGAATGCGTTATCTAGGGAGGTGGTGGAATCTCCTTCCATAGAAGTTTTTAAGGTCCGGCTTGACAAAGCCCTGGCTGGGATGATTTAATTGGGGATTGGTCCTGCTTTGAGCAGGGGGTTGGACTAGATGACCTCCTGAGGTCCCTTCCAACCCTGATATTCTGTGATTCACCCTGGGGCCCATACCCCTCCCACACACCAACCCCCAGCCCAGAGCCCCCTCCTGCACCCTGAACCCCTTATCGCCAACCCCACCCCAGAGCTCACATACCCAGCCAGAACCCTCTCCCCCTTCACACCCCAAGCCGCTGCCCCAGCCCGGAGCCCCCTCCTGCACCCTGAACCCCTCATTTCTGGCCCCACTGTGGGGCCCATACCCCTCCCACACACCAACCCCCAGCCCAGAGCCCCCTCCTGCACCCCGAAACTCTTTCTTTCTGGCTCCACCCTGGGGCCCATACCCCTCCCACACAGCAGCCCCCAGCCCAGAGCCCCACTCCTGCAGCCCAAACTCCTCATCACCAACCCCACCCCAGAGCCCACATAGCCAGCCAGAGCCCTCTCCCCGCTCACACCCCAACCCCCTGTCCAGCCCCGAGCCCCCTCCTGCCCCCCGAACCCGTCATCTCTGGCCCCACCCTGGGGCCCATACTCCTCCCACACACCAACCCCCAGCCCGGAGCCCCCTACTGCACTCTGAACCCCTCATCGCAAACCCCATCCCAGAGCCCACACACCCAGCCAGAGCCCTCTCCCCCCTCACACTCCAACCCCCTGCCCCGGCCTGGTGAAAATGAGTGAGGCTGAGGGAGAGCGAGCGGTGGAGGGAGGGGGGATGGAGTGAGCAGGGGTAGAGCCTCAGAGAAGGGGTGGGCCTCGGGGAAGGAGGCGGGACAAGGGTGTTCGGTTGTCTGCAAATAGAAAGTTGGCACCAGGGGGCGGCCCATGCTCCAGCCCGTGGTCCCGCCCTGGGGCGGCCCATGCTCCAGCCCGTGCTCCAGGCCTGGGGCGGCCCGTGGTCCCGCTCTGGGGAAGCCCATGCTCCAGCCCGTGGTCCCGCTCTGGGGCGGCCCGTGGTCCCGCTCTGGGGCGGCCCGTGCTCCAGTCCTGGGGCAGTCTGTGCTCCAGCCCGTGGTCCCGCCCTGGGGCGGCCCATGCTCCAGCCCGTGCTCCAGCCCTGGGGCGGCCCGTGGTCCCGCTCTGGGGCGGCCCGTGCTCCAGTCCTGGGGCAGTCTGTGCTCCAGCCCGTGGTCCCGCTCTGGGGAAGCCCATGGTCCCGCTCTGGGGCGGCCTGTGCTCCAGCTCTGGGGCAGGCCCAGCCCATTGTCACCACACGACCAGGCCAGGCCGTGATGCCAGTGCCCCCTTGCTATGAGGCCACGCTGCAGCTGGTGCCTTTCCAGTCCAGCTGCCAGATCAGGCTGCGCCTCAGCTGCCTACCCTGTCCCCCGACATGAACTCCCCTGCTGTGGGGGGCCTGGCAAGCTCTGCACGGCTGCTCGCCACAGGCTGGGCTGCAGCTCACAGGGAGTTTCCCTTGGCTGTAGAGCGAAGCACACACTGTGCCTACCCCCGAGGGCTGCCGAGACCGAGCACTCTCCTGCCTGCAAGCACGCGGGGACAAGGTTTTGTACAGGAAGCAGCAATGAGTGCGGAAGTGGAGAGTCAGCTGCGTGGTATTCTCCTTCAGCAGCGAGCACTCGGCCCGTGAGGAGCTGTGATACAGCCAGCTCTGCCGGCTCGCCCCGGCACCCAGAGAACGCGTGGCAATACAGGGCCATGGATTCCCCTCTCTCTCCCTCCTCTGCCAGGAAGGAAGCTGGGATGTTCCTGACTCTAATCCTCCTGCTCTCTGGTCGCAGCCTGCGAGCCATGGCTGCCCAGAGCCCACAAGGTAATTCTCGCGCTCACTGTTCTGTGAATCTCAGCTGCCCAACACGTTCCTGAATCCGCTCCCGGCCTTTGTTCTACAGGCCACATTTGGAGCTTCAGGAACATGCCTCACTGAGAGGCCACCCCAGGCAAGGCAGGAGTTCAGCAGCATGAGGCTTACGGGGGGGGCCGCGATGTGAATATCTAGCAAGGGGAGGCCATGCTGGCTCTGGAGATTGTGCGCTGTCTGTAGATCCTTTGACCTGTGGGTTCAGAGCCATCCCATCTTAGGCAGGCATAAACTCATCACCACCTGATGGCGGTTTGGGGGCCTTTGTGAAGCATTTGGTAAAACTCAGGTCACTTACTCATGGTGCCTTGTCTGCATCACAAGTCACCGCCACAAACTGGCCCCTTTGCTGTCTCAAGGATAAGGCCTGAATGGTCCACAGAGGCTGAATTCACTTCTCCCTCTAGACCCAGGGCTGAGGCATGTTGCCAGGGGTGGGGGGGAAGAGGCTTGCATTGCTGCATCCTCTGTGGCCAGAGGCCGCCACTGTGTCACTTGGGCACCTCGTTGTGCTACAGGGGCTCAAAAATATATCGGCACCAGTGACATAGCAATGACGAGTGAAGACGCTGCTCAAGGGATGACATCTGTCCACAGGGCAGTACATGGCGTCCGTCAGGGTGTCTGTCTGCAGGGGCATGATGTGGTGTCCAGCGGGGGATGGCTCTGTGGGAGTGATGTCTGACTGCAGGGACAGTACATGGCATCCGTCAGGGTGATGTCTGGTGTCCGTCAGGGTGACGGCTAGGGGGGACATCAGGCCTCAGGGCAGTACGTGGCATCTATCGGTGATGGCTCAGGGTGGTGACGTCTAGCCACAGGGCAGTGCGTGGTGCCTGTCAGGGTGATGTCTGGCCTCAGGGCAGTACGTGGCAGCTGTCAGGGTGATGACTCGGGGGTGACAGCTGGCCACAGGGCGGTACGTGGCGTCCGTCAGGGTCACAGCTCAGGGAGGTGATGGCTGGCCGCAAGGCAGTACATGGCATCCCCAGCCTATCAGCACCACTCCTGCATGGCTGCAGGAATTGGGGAAGTCCGGCAGGGAGCTCCTGAGCTCTCTGCTTCCCCCACTGAGGCAGCAAGCAAGAGGCCATGGGAAGACTCAAGGCCAGATCCCGCACTGGAAGTACTATGTTGCAAAGCTGTCAAGCTCCCGCCCTCATCTCCGTGGGGAAAGAGGCTCTAATCTCATCAGCCTCCAGTTTGAACCCTCAGAGCACAGGCCTCAGGTTCCAGGAGTAGGGCAGGAGGCAGGTGCTGCTCATATCCATTCTCTCTGGAGAGGGAAGTGGAGGGGTCAGCTGTAGACCACAGGCAAAGATTCAGAGAATGAGTCAGTTTCTTGTAACGCTGAGTAAGGGGCTCTATTAGAATAAAGAGCACAGCATTTTCCCATAAGTCCTGCCAGGCCCATGGGCCTGCAATGCAATTAGCAGAGCTGCTCAAACTCTCAGCCATGGAGAGTCCCTCTCTCACTGCATGGAGTTTAGCAGCAGGATGTGAGGCCCTGATAAGTATCTGCACCGTGGGTATAGTTTTCAGATGTGTATCTGCTCTAGTCTCTGTTTTAGTCTGTTCTGACGTTAGTGGGGAGGCTGGTAGGCCCTTGTGTAGTACTCTCATTCCAAGAACCTCGGGAATAAACTGGGATCCTCGCTGAACGGGCAGCCAGTGCTCCGGGCTTGCCTCCCACATACAAGAGCTATCTCAACCAGCATTGCTGTTCAGGAACATCTTGGAGTGATAGAGACCCTGCAGATACCACTAATCTCTCAAGCTCCCTGTTGTTCAGACATTCTCTCTCTATGTGGGTGCACCTGCTCTCGGTGTCTGGAAGACCCGCTGCAAGCTTCCCATCATCTCGGCATAAGAGGCGCATCCCAGCAAAACCACAGCTGCTAGCATGTGTTACTCCTGAGGGCATTCTGGGCCAAAAATTTAAATCCGCAAGTTTTATTTATCAGTAGATGAATGCGGAGGCTTCAGCATGGCAATGGGAGCACAGGCCACTGGCTGCATGAAGGTGGGAGATCACCATGCAGCGCCCCCACCCCGGGACACGGACTCAGAGCCTCTCCCTTGACCCCCTCAGACAGTAACCGTGTTAGGCGGTTTGTGACAAGATGGGACCTGTGAGTGCACACGCTGGAGAAATGAGCTCCGAGCCGTGACCTGACCTGTGGAACTGCAGCGGCTCCAGCACACATTTAGGTGGTGGCATTTTAGGCACTTTGACTTCTGGCTGCGTCGTCATCCCTTCTCCTAATCATAGAAATGTTGGGCTGGAAGGGACTTCGAGTGGTCATCTAGTCCAACCCCCAATGCTGGGACAGGACCAAGTAAACCGAGACGGAGGCTTTGGATTCTTTGACCATGGGATGGTGTTCCAAGAAGGAGGAGTGCTGGGCAGAGACGGGCTCCACCTAACGAAGAGAGGGAAGAGCATCTTCGCAAGCAGGCTGGCTAACCTAGTGAGGAGGGCTTTAAACTAGGTTCACTGGGGGGAAGGAGAGCAAAGCCCTGAGGTAAGTGGGGACATGAGATACCGGGAGGAAGCATGAGCAGGAGAACGCGAAAGGGGAGGGCTCCTGCCTCATACTAAGAAAGCAGGACAAACACCAAGTTATCTCAAGGGCCTATACACAAATGCAAGAAGCCTGGGAAACAAGCACGGAGAACTGCAAGTCCTGGCACAGTCAAGGAATTATGATGTGATTGGAATAACAGAGACTTGGTGGGATAACTCACATGACTGGAGCACTGTCATGGATGGATATAAGCTGTTCAGGAAGGGCAGAAAAGGTGGGGGAGTTGCACTGTATGTAAGGGAGCAGTATGACTGCTCAGAGCTCCGGTATGAAACTGCAGAAAAACCTGAGTGTCTCTGGATTAAGGTTAGAAGTGTGAGCAACAAGGGTGATGTCGTGGTGGGAGTCTGCTATAGACCACCGGACCAGGGGGATGAGGTGGACGAGGCTTTCTTCAGGCAACTAACGGAAGTTACTAGATCGCAGGCTCTGGTTCTTATGGGAGACTTCAATCACCCTGATATCTGCTGGGAGAGCAATACAGCGGTGCACAGACAATCCAGGAAGTTTTTGGAAAGTGTAGGGGACAATTTCCTGGTGCAAGTGCTGGAGGAACCAACTGGGGTCAGAGCTCTTCTTGACCTGCTGCTCACAAACCGGGAAGAATTGGCAGGGGAAGCAAAAGTGGATGGGAACCTGGGAGGCAGTGACCATGAGATGGTCGAGTTCAGGATCCTGACACAGGGAAGAAAGGAGAGCCGCAGAATGCAGACCCTGGACTTCAGAAAAGCAGACTTTGATTCCCTCAGGGAACTGATGGGCAGGATCCCCTGGGAGAATAGCATGAGGGTGAAAGGAGTCCAGGAGAGCTGACTGTATTTTAAAGACTCCTTATTGAGGTTACAGGGACAAACCATCCCGATGTGTAGAAAGAATAGTAAATATGGCAGGCGACCAGCTTGGCTTAACAGTGAAATCCTTGCTGATCTTCAACACAAAAAAGAAGCTTACAAGAAGTGGAAGATTGGACAAATGACCAGGGAAGAGTATAAAAAAATTGCTTGGGCATGCAGGAGTAAAATCAGGAAGGCCAAATCACACCTGGAGGTGCAGCTAGCAAGAGATGTCAAGAGTAACAAGACGGGTTTCTTCAGGTATGTTGGCAACAAGAAGAAAGTCAAGGAAAGTGTGGACCCCTTACTGAACGAGGGAGGCAACCTAGTGACAGAGGATGTGGAAAAAGCTAATGTACTCAATGCTTTTTTCACCTCTGTCTTCACAAACAAGGTCAGCTCCCAGACTACTGCACTGGGCAGCACAGCATGGGGAGGAGGTGACCAGCCCTCTGTGGAGAAAGAAGTGGTTCAGGACTGTGTAGAAAAGCTGGATGAGCACAAGTTTATGGGGCCGGATGCGCTGCATCCAAGAGTGCTAAAGGAGTTGGCGGATGTGATTGCAGAGCCATTATCTTTGAAAACTCATGGTGATCGGGGGAGGTCCTGGACGACTGGAAAAAGGCTAATGTAGTGCCCATCTTTAAAAAAGGGAAGAAAGAGGATCCTGGGAACTACAGGCCAGTCAGCCTCACCTCAGTCCCTGGAAAAATCATGGAGCAGGTCCTCAAGGAATCAATTCTGAAGCACTTCGAGGAGAGGAAAGTGATCAGGAACAGTCAGCATGGATTCACCAAGGGCAAGTCATGCCTGACTAATCTAATTGCCTTCTATGACGAGATAACTGGCTCTGTGGATGAGGGGAAAGCAGTGGACATGTTGTTCCTTGACTTTAGCAAAGCTTTTGACAGGGTCTCCCACAGTATTCTTGCCAGTAAGTTAAAGAAGTATGGGCTGGATGAATGGACTATAAGGTGGATAGAAAGCTGGCTAGATTGTCGGGCTCAACGGGTAGTGATCAATGGCTCCATGTCTAGTTGGCAGCCGGTATCAAGTGGAGTGCCCCAAGGGTCGGTCCTCGGGCCGGTTTTGTTCAATATCTTCATAAATGATCTGGAGGATGGTGTGGATTGCACCGTCAGCAACTTTGCATTTGACACTAAACTGGGAGGAGAGGTAGATACGCTGGAGGGTAGGGATAGGATACAGAGGGCCCTAGACAAATTAGAGGATTGGGCCAAAAGAAATCTGATGAGGTTCAACAAGGACAAGTGCAGAGTCCTGCACTTAAGACGGAAGAATCCCATGCACTGCTACAGACTAGGGATCGAATGGCTCGGCAGCAGTTCTGCAGAAAAGGACCTAGGGGTGACAGTGGGCGAGAAGCTGGATATGAGTCAGCAGTGTGCCCTTGTTGCCAAGAAGGCCAATGGCATTTTGGGATGTATAAGTAGGGGCATTGCCAGCAGATCGAGGGACGTGATCGTTCCCCTCTATTCGACATTGGTGAGGCCTCATCTGGAGTACTGTG